GTTAACAATAGACAATACTTGTTCAAAAGATGCAATCACTTATGTCTTCTATTTCTTCGCATTTGTTTTTATATTTTTGCAAGAAAATCTTCTTAATAAAATTGTGTTAAAGCAAAATAAGTCAAATCTTGCAATCAGGTTATGTCTTCCTAATTATGTCATGAAGACAGTGATGACGTCAGTTACAGGCTCACATTACAAATGCTCTTCGAATTATCAACCCCGATATGTGCTGACATTTTATAGCCCGGCACCATGCTCTAACGCTGTCAAGTTTTAACGCAAAACTAGTAGTAATCTGCTCGTTATCACGTTATATGATAAACTTGTTCCCTGTTCAAGGTGGATTTATGTAGTTCCTTCAAAAAAGGTTTCTACGAGGATCAAGTGCGGATATGACAACGATTCCATCCCTTACCAAATCCAACACTGTTTTGAATGTATTTTAAAGCTATTTTTGAAAACTGTTTTTAACCTGTTTTGTGAAATAGGTTTTAAATAGGGTGAAAAGTGTATTTTTAATGTATTTTTCGACTGCTTTTAAAGGTGTTGTAACCTGTTTAAAACGCTATTAAAAAAGAATTTTTAATGTATTTTTAAATTCGTTTAAAATATATAAAAAATTCCAGGGCTTTTGCAAGGCTCAAAACAGGTCTAAAATAGTTTTTAAATATCTTATAAATCGGAATAAAAACAGGATAAAAACAGTTTCAGAAACATATTTTAATTTGCTATACTATTTTAAAACTATTTTTAATGGCAATTTTAAACGTATTTTGAAAAAAACAGGTTTAAAATAGGTCCAAAAATATATTTTTAATATATTTTTCGACTGATTTTAAAGGTGTTTTAACCTGTTTAAAACGCTATTAAAATGTTATGCTTCAAAATATATTTTAATAGCTTTTTAATGGGTTTCGAGATTTAGTAAAATAATCGTATTTGCAAATACAATAAAAATACTTTGAAAATAGTAGTAAAATACCACAGAGGAAGAAAAGCAATAGCACGCGTATATTGTGAAAATACACCAAAAATAGGATGCAAAAATGCAAAAACAGTATAAAATTGTAAGAAAATAGCCTTAGAGTTGTCTGAAAACAGTACAAAAATCGGTCGAAAGAGCATAAAAACAGTACAAAAACAGGATGAAAATACCATTTAAATTCATGAAATAAAATGAATACAAAACCGTCGAAAATTACTCTGAAAAAGCAAGATTTACTTCTGCCAAATTTCTCCACACAGTCCTACGCTAGCATTTCACCGGAATTATCTCTTAGCCGATTACTTTACGTTGATTTCCCTAAGAATTCTCGGGAAATTCTTATGGAATTTTTCAGAAATGCTGAAATCAATCTTATAGCCTGTGTACAAACCCCCTCCCTTCAATAAAAATCGGAGGGGAAGGGAGTCGGTACACAGGCTATCAATCTTCCGCTTCAAAAGAGTATTGCGTTACGTTACCGGTAAATAATAATCTACACACATGTAACTTACATTTTTTATTATATTCACGGCTTTACTCAATTATTATCAGAAGCTTGCAGGCTACGCCTGAACGTTTAATTATTGGCTGATAAAGAACAACATAAGAATAACACCATCAAATTTACACGAGCATGAAAGAGGTCAGTGACGTGACATCAAGTGACTGAGAACAGCGAGGCTGAGCATGGAACCCTGTAAAAACTAAAATTGCCGTACAGGCGGGAGTATATAAATGTTTACTACCCTTCATTTGTTTCTCATATGGCGTATACTTAAGCGTCTTAGTAACATGTTATGCATATATTGTGTATAATACTCACATAACAGAAGACTCTTGGACTAACACACAAGACAGCACAAGACCGCGTGCTTCGGAGAGAAACTGAACCAGATCCTTTCAAAGTACATAACAGTCGCTGAGGAGTCATACCCATTTTTGATCCGTGATAAATGCAACATCTACGTGTTCAGACAATCCGCAGAGTTGAAATGTATACTTTTGTAAGATCGTAACAAACAGTAAAATCAAGCGCACCCGCCATCACAGCAACCGCCGCTAGAATAATTTGAAATGAGCAAAGGACAAAGGACGGTTTGTTTATCACGTGCATTTGTCACATCACCGCGGCGCGAAGTCGTGATTTCAGTCGCGCGTGACATCTTAGAAATAATATGCCATGCATGTGCGGAATAATCTATGAGTGAAAGATAACCATATGTCGGAGTTTATTCATATCTGAGCTTTGTTTCTTGATGCAATATATATGAGGTGAGATCTTAGCTTGGATAATTTATTTATTATGTAATTTCAAGGGCTTATTTTAGATAAACCTCTGTTGACCGCGTGCATCCGGTTCTCGGCCCGCGGCTTCGGCTGTTTGTGAAAAAATTTCTATACGAAATTAAAATGCGATTTTAAGAAGTTTCTTTTAAAAAACTTATGGAAAGTCCCTTAACTGCATTAATTGAATCACGGCTAAAATCTACGCGGAGATTTTCGCAGAGAGCTTACAGGTAATGAACAGTGAGGAACGGATAGATCTTTTATCGGAACACTGTCACAGTTACGTGTTGTCAGTCAAAGCTAAAACCTATTCCTAATTTTCTTCTCTTTTTTTATTTAATTTAGATTTAATTTTTCGCTCAGCTTCGAACTTTGTTGGGAGGAGAATCCGGTCCACAATATGTGACAGCTTGTTTTGAGTCATTTATGAGTTCGTGACACGATGAAGGCTTAAAAATTAACTTTGTGCAATTGTTACCTTTATTTATAGTCTGAGTATAAGTCTCCCAAAAGACATTACAGTACGTATTGCACCCTAGTAATAATAAGTTATAAGTACACTACTTTAAAGTATTTACAATAAGGTAAGCATTTGATGACTTTAAGCAGACTTCAAATAGTTTATGGATAATCTGTTTTTATAGTCAGAGTGCTGTGTGCCCAAAATACAATTCAAATAGACCTCAAAACAGTGTTTAAGTACCCTATTTAAAAGTATTTAAAATGCGGTCAGTTCTTAAGGTTTAAAACATATTTCAAATAGTCCATTTGAACTCTGTTTGTAACTTTGTCAGTGGATGCGTCTCAAAATACATTTTAGATACAACTCAAAACAGTGTTAAAGTACCCTATTTAAAAGGATTTAAAATACGGTCAGCATTTAGGCTCTTAAAACATATTTCAAATAGTCTATTTGAACTATGTTTATAACTTTGTGACTGGTGCGTCTCAAAATACATTTTAGATACAACTCAAAACAGAGTTAAAGTACCCTATTTAAAAGTATCTTAATTACAGTCAGCATAAAAGCCCTTAAAACATATTTCAAATAGTCTATTTGAACTCTGTTTGTAACATTGTTAGTGGTTCCATGCCCAAAATACAGTTTAAATACTCTATTTTAATCATATTTATTAAACAAAATACATTGTAAATTGATGAGAGAGGTTTTCCTTTACATGAAATACAATTTAACTACACTCAAGATATATTTCAAACAGGGGCGAAAATTTAAATTCTTTTGTCAAATAGTATTAAAATACAGGAAAATAGTGTTCAAATACTGAAAATACATTTTAAATACTTTAAAATCAGTTTCAAAATACATATGATTTGGTAAGGGATGTTTGCTGCCCATCTTCTATGGCTCGAGACAAGAAGAAGGTAAATGCATAAAATGTCTGTTCAATCTGTTTGCTGGCGGTCTTATTTTGAGTTAATCAGTTTTGAATGTATGTATCTATTTTCTTTTACAGGGAAAGTGCATCTACCGTTTGTAAAAAAAGAGAGAGGCATCATCCACAAACCAGTTCCTTCCTCAAAACGACGCCACATTGAAGGTGAGACTGCAGCTGTGCTTGATTCTTGATTGAATAAATCTCTTCACATTACTATTATTTTGCGGCCCTCCAGAAAATTATCCTGGAACCGAATCTTCTTAACAGTTTTAAATATTATGTGCGATTCAGATAAAATACCAAACCTTGGTAAATGATTGTTTTTCTTGAGAAATTATTAGTTATCGAGACAACATTGTTGCCAATAAATGTGACACTGGCTGAGAGGCAACCCTTATGTCTAATCTTTGGCCATCAAGATGTGGGAGCTTATTTACTTAGGATATTATTACCAACTAAATAAAACCAGTTCTTGACATGTTGATTTTCAACTTTTTTTAATAATTTTTAATTTTTGATATATTCATTGATTAATAATTTTTTTGATTGATTTATTTATTGATCAATTTTTAATTAAGCATTGACCAGAATCATCCAAGATAATGCACATTACTTGTCGAGTTTTTCACAATTTATTGCAGTTTCTGTGGTGTCTCTGGAGAGTTCTTTGCAGTTAGTTGGAGAATAGAAATTGGTCATTAAAAAGGAAACTGCATACTAATCCTAGTAGCATTTCCATTCATTTCCATAGCAATGATGCCTTGCATGCATTATATTACAATAAATTTTTCATGGTTAGCGGTTCTTTTGTCTTTGATTGCAAACACACAGCCAAACTCAAGCCTTTCACTGGTTTACTTCGAAACGATGCTCTTACAGGTTTGTTTATTATGTTAATGCCTGTGAAACGAGGAAAATTTGACACTTCGTCAAATGTCACGCGAGACCTTTTTGATGCAGTTGAACTAATAATAATATATAGACAATGTACAAGTAAACATGACAAGAAAGAATCCCACCTGGCATACTGCAACCAGCTAGCTATTAAAGCATGGTAGTTTTATGGCACAAAACCAGTGACTGGTAAGATCAAGTCTAGAACCTAACCTACCAGATTGGGATTCAGCTGCACTTACTACTAGGCAATGAAGGGAAGAATTTCCAAAATTTGAAAAGACTTTTATTGAGACTGATTCTACAATGCAGATTATGAAACAAAAATAATAAAGTGACTGTGAATAGTAATCTTTTTGTTATCATACTTGTGTTACAGTTACAAAGTTTACAAAGCATGCAAACAGCTTGCAGCCATTGATTGGAATTTCAATATGAACCTTGAAGCAGCAACAACAAAAGCAGGAGAGCAGATAGTAACCAGAAAGTACGATCAGCGAACAAAAGATTGGGACGTGAAAATTATCACAGTCAAGAAAAAGTTTGAGTACATTCCAATGATGATGGTGAAGATTTTTAACATGAGAAAAAAAAGATACTGATATTGTTACGAGGCAGGTGTCTTTGAATGAAAGCGACCCTGCTTTGCTGGCTTTCACCATCGCTGACAAATAGACACCCCCTTCAAAGGAACTTTTTATGGCACGTAAGAGCAGATTTCAATCTGGTACTGAAGATCATTCAGCCCTCCATTTTAGATGACATTTTCTAACAACAATTTCATTGCATTGTTATTTTTGAAGTCAGTTCATGAAACAACCACAACTAAGCTGATTGCAAATTTTGTAAATTCATGCTAATGTAACACTTTGATTTCTTTACTTCACAAAATTATGTAAATATCTTACAATAAAAGCATAACAATGTAACAAACTAAAGGAGTGGATCAAGGAAAATAATCTATAATCCCCTGAGTGAAGGTTTTTAGGTTTTCCCCCTACTCTGTTTTTAAAATTTGGCCTTTACAACCACCCTCCACATGAAATAATTATTGACCTTTCTTGGGGTGGAAATGGATATGTTATGGAAACATGAAAAAGATGGTTGCCGACTCTGTTCATGACTTAGAAATAACAAAATATTATAATAAAGTTCTGAAGAACTAGAGAAAGAACGAACTGGGAAAACACAAGTCTAGCTTTTCTTGTGAGATGCGAACACAGTTCCATGGTGGTTGTTGTCTCATTCGGGTCTGTACCCCATGTACGCACCTGTCTGAGAAGGATAATGTCCGCGCACAGTTTTGACCAAACATGAAGGACAGACCTTTCTGTTACCCTTTCCTAGATGTCCATCACGATCAAGAATAAATTGCCTGTATGCAGCCTTCCTGAAGGCCCTTGTACTGTTATCATCACGATCATTAGCTATCATTACGAATGTGCACGATTTCTAATACAAAGCTGCAACACATTTGGGTCCAGACAAAGCTTGCTGAACCTTGCAAATGTTGTAACACATCTTCTCTGACCACAACAATACACACACTACATTTACACCATGGCAGTGAGTTTGATGCAGCAGAAGGGTTAGGTGCTGCTCCCGCAACTGCTGAAGCATGTTGGCTATCAGTGGATTCAGACTCCAGTGGGGTTTCGCTGTACACATCAAAATGCTCTCTCTCAGTGTCACTATCGTTGTCATCTTCCATAATTAGCAGACTATGTATGCAAACTATGTAGTCCATGCTCCCTAATCCACATTGTAGACTTCTGACACACAGTTTGTGCACCATTGGCTCGTCCAAAGTTTGAATAAAGGCTTGTCAGAGAGAGGTAAAATATCAGGAGAAACAAACAATAGTAACAATTTATTATTTGTAAGGCGGACAATAGCATTTAAATATGATCTAATGGGCTCATTGCGTAAACATCAATTCCTGAAAAGTTCTGAACTCAAGACAGCGTATTTTTATGGGAAAACGCGGGAATTTGTCGGAATTAAAGTCTGTATTTGAAGGTATGCTTTAAAATTTAACACGGATGTGTGTATGGTGCGTACTCGAATGCATTCCTTTGTTCCCTTTTTTATTGCAAAAGAAACAAATACTTGCATTCTGGGTAGAATGTATTTCATAGAGCGCTCAATTTATTTCAAGAGCATTCATTTGACTATTAACAACTTCACAGGAGCTCAGATTTTAGGAGTAATCATCGATCGCTTATTGCGACAGTGCTGTTTCGTATCGTCCAAATTATAGGACCACACTAATGTATATATATATATATATTGATAAAAAACAAACAAACAAACAAAGAAACAGAGACTCAGTCCATTGTTCTTATGGAGTGTTCTATCAAAGAGCTGCTTGAGAGTTTTTTCTTTCTTTTTAGCCATTTCAAATGTATTGTTCATGTCTTATGTTTACATGTGTTATCCTTCTCTCAATGAACCATAGAAAAACGTTTATAAAAGTTCGCAAGACATCTTGTTTTGCCATTGTACGGAATTACTTATTGCTCTAAAAATGATGTTACCAATATCAGGTCAATCAGGGGCTCGGTGGTGGGAAATTGCCTCCTTCTCCATGCCCAGGGTTTAAAAAGAGACCTCCAGAAAAGAAAAAAAAACAATTGTAATTGCCCGGGGGGGGAGGGGGTATGGTAATAGCTCAAATTTAACCACGCATAAGACTAATTCTAACTTCCATTCCACGACTATCCACGCCTTGCAGGCAACACATCATTTTCAAAAGAGGTGTATAGAGTCAAATAAATTCGAACCAACGTGAGAATGAAGGCCGTGCCGCGGCTACGGTAATGGCATAATCCGTTTCCTGTCACTTTTATTAGAATACCTGCCCGGTGGGAGGTACTTGCAAAGTTTTATACGTGGAGACTACGCCTCGAGTTCTGACCCCTTAACCTTTGCTGTACCACTTTTGACGGGTAAAGGTACCCCTTTCACATATCTACGCCATTAGTGGGAGTACCCTCCCTGGATACCTGCCAAGATCACGCCTCTAGGACGACTCTAGTACTCATGTCTGGGTTCCAGTTACTCACACTTGAAAAGCTTGTTTTTGTTATACTTTCAACAAATTTACAAGCAACAAAAGCTCGAACCATGCAACGTGAAAAGGAATAATTCATTTGAATAAATTAAATTTTCCAGAAAACTCCGATATACCTTGGCATTGGTGTGATATAACTGGAATTCGTGACTTTTGTAGTTTCGATTTAGTTTAACAGCGTTACAAGTGCTAGTCAGTCATAATTCACGTGACGTGTCAATTCCAGAAATTGAGTAACTTGCATTTGCGTAAGTTTTCTTGGTGTACACGTGTCGAGAAAAGTTTCTCTGTGCTCGAGGTTTTTAAAATCTGTCAGGACTCTGGCATTTTTAATAATTCCAGTTATTAAGCAAACGACCCCTAGACTGCTCGGGTCTGCCGCTGTATAACTCCAGGTGTTTTTACCAACAAGGAGATAATTGGTAATGGGGCGTACGGTGCGGTTTTTACCGCTTAAGTCCCATTCGCGAGTAAGAATGGAAGAGCAAATGCCACTGTCGAAAAGGTAGTCGTGAAGAAAATGCTAAGCGATGACGTTTTGGACAAGAAGACCTTTATCAAGGAAGCAAGGATACTACAAAGGCTAGAACACCCAAACATCGTAGACTTCAAGGGTATCTGCAATAATCCATTTGCCCTTGTGTTAGAGTACGTCTACTTTGATTTTAAACCATTTGGTGTGGAGCAGAAAGTGAGCTCCCTTGCTCAGTTTCTTTGTGTTCTTCAAGGCTTCGCTGAGTGCCACGGTTTTGATAGTCCTCTCGTTATCTCAACCATTTGCAAGGACATGGCAGCAGGTCTACAATACCTACACGAAAATGGTGTCGCTCACCGAGATTTTAAGCCGGCAAATATATATCCTGATCAGCAATCAAAATTATTGTGATTTGGCAATCGATGATATAGAGGAAGCCTGGGAACGTCGCCCTTTAGTTTGTAAAGTCGCTGATTTTGGCGAGAGCCGTTCTAGTGAAATACAGACCAATTCCATCCTACAGTCCAAAACGAATCGGGTAAACCGAGGCACACCCGTGTATATGGCCCCCGAGATGCTAGTCGAAGAGATGCGATTGCCTGTTGCATCAGCGGAAGACCTTAAGAGGGCTGATATTTGGTCTTTTGGCATGACCCTCTTTGCCCTTCTTAATCGTAGCAGCAGGTACCCATACTACGGGGAAATTCAAGAAGCCCTAAAGGAGGGGAAAGCGCCTATTCGGACGCTTGAGAATCTCTTTAAGAACAGGAAAGTTCCCATAGAGCCTTCCAAACATCAGAACAAACATGCTACCGACTGGTTTTTCGTCCATAAAATTTGGGCAAAGTGCATTCAATTTGATCCTACTGCAAGACCGACAATTGAAGACGTGGTTAAAATGATCAACCAGGACTCTGCTGCTGACTCTGCTGCATCTGCTCTTAATATTCACTTAAAGGTAAGTCAAAGAAATTTTGAACTATAGTGATGTTGATATCGTTTTTTATGTAAAGGAAGGAACTGGGTGGAGCTATCCACCTTCTCTCTGCCTTATTCTCAATTTGAGGGGCACGACTGTCTAGTTTTTTGGTTTAATATTGATGTAAGCGAGAAATATACTTGAAAATTATCATACCTCTTGAAAAGTATAATAATATAAATCGTTACAAAAAACAAAAATGCATTTTGAAAAACTGTCAGGCTGTCATGTTTTTGAAAAACGCAATTGTACAGTGGAACCCCGTTACAGCTGTAATACGTTCACTATGATAAATCAGAAGTAATAAGACCAGTCTACTGTTTAACGCAATAAAATGTGTGGGCACTCTTCTTTGCGTGCCGTGGAAAGTTCCGTTAATGTTCGAAACTTCGCCATTTTGACAGCAAAGCTGGAATTGTAACGGTCCGCATCTGATCGACTAATTTCCACAGCTTTAACGTTTCTAGTTATCACTAAATGTCATTAGACCCTTTAAATGTTGGACGTTTGAAAACATGTGGAGAAAACTTAGTAATCGCTTTTCCTTGGGTCTTTTTCGTGTCGACGATGAACGTGACTTCATTCTCCGTATGCAAATTAGCCTTAGATGCGTTGTTTCAACAAACTGACAGGAAATATAATCCTTACATTTCAGATTTCTAAGGGGAAAAATAACTCTCCTTTCCACAGAAAAACAGAAACCATGACTTAGAATCCCCTTAAGTATTTAACGAGCAAGAAGCAGCTGAATAATATATCATGATATATGTTTGCCTGGCTTAAAATAATCCCACGGGAGGTACTCGGGATTTCAAGTGACGTGGATGATCGAAGGATTTTTTTGGGTTTGAAATTTTTGATTCCGGGATTTTTTTGGGTACGAAAATTTGGCAAGTATTTTTTTGGGTACCTTGATTTGAGTAGGGATTTTTTGGGGGGTATTAAAAAGAATCGGTAGTGACCTGGCTGCGTAGTTCTGCGAATAAAGTACAAACAAACGTGTTTTGCTGTTGTTTAATAGTTTATGGTGTCGCTTTACATCGCACTTGTTATACAATAGTCTGCATTCACGGCCCTTGGTGCCCGGCCGTGTACCTGAAGACTTCAACCGCTTCAATTCAGTCAATTGACTTTCCCGTCACTGGAATTCCCTTTTGCTTTAGTGAACTTTTGCTGTTAAAATGACTGCCAGATGAGGGAAAGGATATATTCAGATGGTATGATGAATAAACAAACACGAGTGTTCAATTTCCAATGTTTTTCTTTGTGTTATAGCATTACCCCTTTCTGGAACTAAGGGCCACAAAATCGGTATGGGATTTTTAGGGGGTTAATTTTTGGTTGACGAAAATACTTTACAAAAAAACACATTTTAAAAAAGTGGGCTTTTCAACAATGGCTTTTACGGCCAAGATATTGTCATGGCGTTTTCGCCACCTGAATATTGTAGGTTGTTTGCTCAAAAGAAGGCCTAGCAAGGGGGTGTCAAGGGGCACCCCAGGACCCCCCAGCTACGCCCCTGTAACGAACGGTTTTATATTACCCGACTAATAGTAAAATATATGAAAAAAAACCTCGATATAGCGAATGTACATTTTGTCAGTCCCTTGGCTCTTCGTTATATCGACGTTTCACTGTACGTAACTTCGACGATCTTTTATATATTAAATTTTCCTGTTTCTCTACAGAAAGGAAACAAGAAGAGATGACAGATGAATTTCAGCTGTTCAAATCGACTTCAACCAGACAGACGAAAAAAACCTGCTTTTATCGTGATAATAAGGATAATTCATTTTAAGTTAACAAAAACGTGTAATTTTATTTAGATTTTAACAAAAATAACTACAATTGTTACGCTTGGAACCACTAACACGTTGATTAGCTGGTTTGTACAGAGTTTTCCTTTGAAGACTAATAAAACTGGTTGAAATTTTGTTTAATTGCATGGTGAGATGTGTTTTTGCAGCTTCACACCAAGCACACCACACTCCGTAATGTAAATACGGTGAGATACAAAGTGACTCAGCGCCGGATATACACAAAGAAGTACGTGATGTGGGACAAAGTGTCTGATCTTTGCAATAATTCCGACTGTTGTATTACTTTTTTTATGACAGAAGTAATCTATATGATACTTCCGAGAGAGATTAGAATCAAAATATAAGCCAAGTTTAATATTTGATGTAAATGATTTTCCATGTAGCGTTGGACTAGTATTTGAGGTGTTGTCATTTATTTTCACGTTAGGATAAAATTAAAGAGTTGACGTGGATGGAAAATAATGTCATGAGATATTTCCATGTTTTAAGTCAATTTATTAAGGGCTAGCGAGGAAACAATGGAGAGCTCTTCATTAACTTACTTACTAGTTTTTTTTTTATTTTTTATTATTGTTTGCACAGGTTACGCCAGTATCATCGGCAAATTTCTTGTTAAGTTTCAACCACTACCTGCGAGTGAGAGAAAAAGCTGCCTTTTTATCTTTTCAGTTTTTGTTTCGAGCCAGCTAAGCAACAGTAACTTTTGAATATACTAGCCGTCAATTTCTGTCTCCAGAGTCAAGTACGCGGTTGCAAACAATTCAAGCAAAAGAATGCACTTCCGCATTTATGCGTTTCCTAGTGCCCTCTTTCTCAACGACACTTAGTGAATAAGCTATCAACACAATCCCAAATGCGGCGGATAAGTTGCGACTGCGAAATTCTCTTCTTTCAATCCCTGGTATTACCCATCCACTTGATTTATCCTACCGTACGTCATCCTATTACTACTTCCTTGTTTTGCCCTCTGGGGTCCGTTTCTAGAATGTCCCGGTAGCTTTCGAGCTTGCAGAGCTGTTTTATGTTTGCTATGACGTCAGTTTGCATTCAAGATCAAAATGTGAATAGTTTTGAAAACGATACAATGAAACTCTCAGTTAATGAAGCACAGTGACTGGTTTGTGATCCAGGAAAGGTTTCGATTCTAGGATCTGTCTTCGGGCCCAAAATTTAACGTGTCTTATGGAAAACGGGCGGCCAGGGCCGGAGTAATACTATCTTTTCAAGATGTGGTAAGTATATGTGACCCCCCGCGTAATGCTCCATACAAGTACAGTTATTAGCTATCTTCAATCTTTTGTTTTTGCTTACAAATTCTGCCTGAATGAATTGAGATTGGCCACTGATTTATTGGGGGGACAGGGGATCCAAACCTCCCCCTTCCTTGCTTTAAATTCCCGCCTCCTCAGACTTTTTCCTTAGCTTCCTCCCTTGAGTCTCGATTTAGCTCTTGCAGTTTGCGAAATATTGAGTATTGTTGCGTAATTTCTCCCTATTTCCCCCCGCCCCCCTCAATTTCCCACTCTTTTTAGAGCTCCCACCTCCCGCCCTTTCTTCTCCCTCCTCTCGTACCCTCCCACCCTTTATTCGCCCGGGCCCCAACCCCCTGACCTATTTGACTTTAAAAAAGCCTAACAGGCCTTATAACTATTGCAGTATATCATTTGTCATTCATGTTAAGCTTGTTAGTCCGAAATAGGCCACTTGCACTAAGAGGTCACGTGACCAATGCTTCCTTTAAACAATGAGTTGGAATCTTGCTGATGCCAAAAATTGTTAGAGCACATAAAAATTATCTTACACCCGAAATTTGAGAGGAAAGGCATTTAAGGGAGATGTTTTATGGGACTTTGATTTTTCCACAAAGTAGTATCATTTGTATTGACCGCCATGTTGGAGGGCATGCTCTTGCCCTCCAACATGGCGGCCAAAACTACTTTTTGCTTATATCTTGTTCAACGTTTGATAGTTACGCTCAGATATGCTGTAAACGTTAGCACATCATCTTTTCAACATTTTCCTTGAAGTTTAAGTGGAAAATTTGTGTTCAGACAGAGGTAAAATCACATTTTGGTCACGTGACCATTTACGAACTTATTCATTTTAAGAAAATGGTGCGGGTTTGAAAAACCAAATCACCATTATTTTGTTTAAGGTATGACCCTCTTATTGTTTTTCGAAGGCAAAATCATATAACTTTCATTTTCATAAAAACGATGTCACATGACCTCTTAGTGCAAATGGCCTATTGCTCGTATTTCATCAGTAAGCGACGTCTGGGATTTAATTAACTGTGGAGGCAAACCAAAGCATTCCGCGTTACTCTAAGGGGCTGGGAACATGTATTGAGACATTCTAAATGCCTGGCATGCAACAGGGTATGGGATTTTGGTTCAAGGCTTAAATTGGATTGTTGAACAATACACATTTGGAACTGAAATGGGTAACGAACCGAAGAAGTATATCGATCTCTCCCTTTATTCACCTCTCCCCAGATCCTCCCCCCGGAAGTTATTAGAGATTTCATGATTCGTCTGTTTGGATATTACTTCCTTGTTTATAACTTCAACTGCCAATGACAGCACCGCACAGATCTGCTTACATAGCAACATTCATAAATGAACAAAGCCAAAAGAAACAATAGAACGATACCAGTTGGGTACTCCTCATAATGGCCTAAACGAGAAGGTTCCAGATCAGGCCTCAAGTAATATATAAGGGTAGGGATTTCACTAGTTGAACTATATGAAAGGAGGGGAAAATCTGATCGGTCGTTAGGAAACATAAAAGCCTATCAGACGCATCGCGGCTTTAGCTTTGAAAAAAAAAAAAAACAATTATAAAACTGGTTTAGTGATTTATTGATATTCAAAGGACGGTGCGTTTACAACTTAAAAAGAAAGCAAAGTCCTAAACTAGAAGTGTGGAGGGGGTACCATTTGTCAAAACGAAAGGGGCACCTATTCTATCGAAACTTGAATTGCAACATTTGAATATTCATTCACATCATTGCGCCGCTTACTTTCGGTATACCGAATTTCTTGAATTTGATTTACATGCATTTCTTTATACTATCCTTTTCTATCGGTTTTTTTCTTTATACAATCTGTCCATTTTTATTTCTTACTTTTGATAATGATGACATAAAATAATCGAAACGTCAGGTTGATTCATTGTTGATTTATCCATCCACATGATTTATTTTACATCGTCCTCGTCTTTTGATCACTTTTTCATCCAATACCATCAGGGAGCAATGCTATCTTTAGAAGACTTACCTGCAAATCGGGTTCATCAGCTTAAGCAATGTCATTCATGTTCTACATTGAGTTTTTATTGTAGTAGTATCAAGAGTATCAAGAGAATATGACAAAAAAATATATATAATAATAGAATAATGTGACGTCACCTGTCAAGCTTGTCGGGAAAATTCGCCGAGGACGCCTCACGCTATCGCGCTTGGTTCTAAGCCTCCTCTGGTAACTCGGATAGCGCGAACTGGCCTTGGTACGAGGCTGCTAGCATATACCTTTTGTAAGGAAGTGGTGACCCCACTTCCCATGGTCTCTTATTCGAAGGGCTGTCGTCCAGAATGGTAAAATAGGGAAAAGACAGTAAGGAGCGAATAGATAATTGTACATATTTTGTCAGGAAAAATCCGAGACATCACTGGTTAGATAAAAGAAGCATCAAGATATTCTTGTCTTTGCATCATACGGGTTAATTTCTTGCTAGTGGCAAAATAATTTTTTCAACTCAACGCCTAGTTAGCCCGTTAAATGAACATAAAAACGAAGGAGCTAATTTGACAAATCAATCATATTTATTTAACCACGTGACATCTAGGAGCTCATACGCCACTTCCACATCTCCCATAATGCACCTTATTTGCTCCCCAAATTTCGCATAAGCATTGTTTTCAATTTCTCTTGGGACGCCTGTAATACCCAGGAGAAATGAAAAACAAAGGTTACGGAAAATTTTTTCTTTTTTTTGGGTAGGGGGGGGGGGGGGGGTGCAAATAAGGTGCATTATGAGAAATGTGGAAATTGCTAATAATGTGCTCGTTAACATGTGAACGTGTACGATAAAAAAAATATAAGAATAAAAGCAATCAATATAAAACTAATCTAGTAATATCAAGTAATATCAAGTACATTTGAGCTAGAAACAATAGTTAATGTTTACAGATAATATTTACAGATAATGTTATATTCATCGTTTCCAGATGTTTATGCAAACAGACTGTTGTTATTTCGATATACCTTAGCAGCCTATGAAGATTGTAATTTCTTAAATGAAATAATATCATTTGATTTTTTTTTGTACGGACGCCCGAGGTTACGCAGTTTATAGGTGTCTAGTTTAAGCTGTAAAGTGATACAAGCGCGCTCCAACAGTAATATTCCTAGTTCTTAAGAGATTAAGCGAAACAAGCGCGCTCTAACTGAAATATTCCTAGTTCTTTTTAAAGAAGCAAAACAAGCGCTCTCCAACGACAGCGAAGGTACCGAAAACGTCACAAGAGACTTTTCAGCTAAAGTCTCAAAAGGCAAAACTCTAGAAGTCAAGTGACCAAGCCTTGCATTCGCGTGTGATGAGGTTTTCACTTAAGTGATTTACGTGCACATTTTTCATCTTGAATTCTGTTTATGTCACAACAAAGTTATGTAAACCATTTTTGAAGTAGAAGACTAGATGTAATTTGTCCTGAATGAATTAAAATAAGACTTTTTTGCCATTTGAAATTTAAGCACCGCTGTTGTCGGGAAATTCATTATGGCCGCCTCTTCAGGAGTAAAAATTGTTCACTTTTTTGAATTTTGCTTGAGGCAAGACCTGTAGCTAAACAGGTAAAAGCCACGAACATCTAACGCTAATCGCCAAACCTGAAACTGCCGTTAACAGAAAACCTAGGTGCTTAATGTGTCTAGCTATTCTGTATTATTATCACTGCACGTGGCCAAATGACAAACGCCCCTCTCTAAAACGCTCCTTTTGGCAGACCAAACGGCAAAGTACGGGCTGTAAAAGGAATTTGCGGCCCGCAACATTATTTCATGTTAAACAGTCTTTCCTTATGAAATAAGTTTGTACGATTTGGCCTTGTGCATTAATGATAATCACTTGACTTTTGTCGGGCATATAGTTTATTTGTGTCCCTCGTTGCATGAATGATACCTGAACAAACGTAAATGATACTACTCGGGCCACAAATATACTATATGCCCTAAAAAGTCCTGTGATTGTCCTATTCAGCACATGCACAGCCATTGTTTGGCAGAGAACTTTCTCTTGGATATTACAGTCGTAGAATTGAAAACAGAGTTTCTGCAAAATAGGTTTGGGTAGCAGGCTTGTTACTTTAAGCACGATGAAGAACTATATTCTCTCAACCCTGCTTGGGGCCTCGAAACGGCCTTTTTGGTTTAATTACAGTTTACATTAAACATACTTCATCCTCCGCAACCTTTATGGAAGTTTATGTATCTAGTTACAACAGTTACAACAGCTACAATAGCGGCTAACAACGCCAGAATGAGGGTGTACCTTTGTGCATTTGTCCTTTATAAATTTAAGCAAAAAGCATAGTGCAACCGCCCCGATGCAACCAACACAAATTCCTGCAATTTTTCCATGGCTGAGCCCTGTTGAACTCTTTCCTTTTCCTTCCCCTGAAAGTTTGAAAAACAATTGTTTAGTAGTTTTTTAAATTGTAAACTGTGATTAGGTTTTTTATATTCATTAACTAATAGAGGAACTTCCTTTTGGTCTATTTGGACTTCACCTAGGTTCTAACGTCAGATACGAGCCTCTAAATGAGAGTTTTGGTTCAATTTGTCCCACGAAATTTAGCTGGGGTCATATTTTGCTTCAATTCGCCTTTTCAGCTTAATTAACGGTTACTTTCATAAAAAAAAGAGGTGTAAAATTCAATGACAGATGAAGCGAAACAACCATGATTTTAACAGCCTCGCAAAATGCGCCTAATTTTCAATATTCGAGACGTTCAATAGCGGGCAATAGCGGGCTAACAAAATACTCAGCGCGGACAGAGAGTTCCGTGTTATTGAGAATCAAAGCGAACTTATATTTTCTTCTTCGTTTTCAAACAAGAGTTTAGCGGGTGGTTTTACAGATGCTCGTAAAAGCTCCGAAGTTATAGTACGTTGCTAGATAAGTTTAATAGCTAGCGATTACACAGCCTCTCATTGCTTCTACCAACACGAAATTGTCCCCACGGCGAGGAGCGATGAGATAGAGTAGAGTAAACGGCTGTATATATTAGCAGGCTCTGCCAAGATCTATAAACGAAAAGTATGTAAAGGAACATAAAGCGAAAAATTTGCTGCTCTATAATTGCTGGTTTACCTTTCTCACAGCAGTGTCCCGAATAGCCTTCTTTACAATAGCATGTTTCACGCTTTAAACTTCCCCCGTTGAGGCAGCTTAACTCCTGACATCCTTTTGTCTTCCGTAATGTTGACGAGCAACTTCCACCACAACGCTCGGTGATTATTCTATGACGGGCACTGGTTTGAATACCAGAGATGCCGCATAAAGTAGAGCAGGCACTCCACGCAGACCAAGAGCTCAGCTGACAGTTCACTGATCGTGTACCATAGCACTGCCGTGTTTCCTCTAAGGTAGGACATTCTGAACCTCCACAACTCGGCTCAGATACTCGCCATCTTGTCCGTCGTTGTGATCCTTGTTGTCCACATTGTTCAGCAGTACATGAGCTCCAAGAAGACCAAAAACTGACTTCACAATTCCGAGGACTGCAGGATCGACGGCGACGACGACGTCTTCGCCATGTGTCAGTTTCAAGAAAACAATTAAAAAACAGCGAAGCGATAACTATGTTGCAAAACTTCATGCTGAAATGTTTGGACACCTTTCACGGAAGTAAAACACTCAAGGTACATTTTCTGTTCTTAGCCTTTCCAGAATGTAAATAGACGTCATCGCTAGATTATATGACCAAAGTCCTATAAAACACGTGCCGACACTGAAAATGCTTTTGATTGCTTCCGCACTAGAGGTCAATCTTCGATGTTTCAAGCACAACTCGATAAACGAATACTGGCTTAAAAAGCCGTGTCTTCTATAAGATCTATGCCCAATTCCAGTTACACTAATTGTTCAACAGGTGGCGCCCCACAAACACTCTTTGTATTAAGCTTTTGTAAGGGATTACCCGCCTTCCCCCCAGCCAAAAGTATCTTTGTACGAAGGGTAGGTTTAGAAGGATGAAATAAGGGTGAGACACAAAATGAATGAAGAACAGGAAAGTTTAGCTGATAATGACTTACAAGACCCCAAGATTGCGTGAGATTGGGAAAAATCTGAGGTATAAAGATGGTGTACTGGGGCGATTAACAATAAAGATGATGCCGGAACTGTGGAAATACAAATTTAAATGAAGATTTTATCGTCGCGGTACACAGTGGTAATTTCAATTTTATCAATTGCAAATTTACCCCAAAAAATTTTCGGGACTTTAACGGGATTCGAACCCATGGCCTCTGCGTACGTTAGCGCTGCAGTGCACTTCCAATTAGTGTTATTAAATTAACCGGGTTAACTTCCTGCCACAAAGTGGCAAGATAATTTTTTGCAACCCACGCCTTGTTAGCCAGTTAGGTGATAATAAAAACTGACGGAACCATTTCTCCCTTCAGCTGACTCATTTGAGATTGTTTTGATATGGTAAAAAATCTCATCAAGGTTAGGAGGACAGTAAAAAACATAATTCATGGTTTGTAAACAAATACCGTAAAATTCCGAAAATGAGCCCCGGGGCTTATATTTTTCAAAGGCCCTTTTTGAGGGGCTTACTTTTGGAGGGGCTTATATTCGGAGGGGGTTATCTACGGAGGGAAATTTGCGTTTCAAAATCGATTGGGCTTGTGGTATAGTTGGAAGTAAATTAACCGTTTTTGCTTGTTTAACTTTGTATTTGAGGGCAATTTTCCAAGTACAAGCCCCTGGGGGGCTTATATTTGGAGGGGCGATTTAACGGAGGGTTTTTTGCGTTACCGGATTGCGGGGCTTATATTTGGAGGGGCTTATACATGGAGGGGATTATTTTCGGAATTTTACGGTATTTGATTTGCTTGACTGGTCTGACACCAAAGTTAATTGGCAACATTACGTTTTATAGCCTGAAACTCATCCGATTGCTTCGAGTCATTTTCTCCTCTCAACAACGTCTGAATCGACCGGCCGTCAATGCCGTCCGGTGACGTCACTCACTACCCGAAAACCGGGTAGTGTTTTTGATTGATTGATTGTCTAAACATTCGCACAATTATGTATAATTATGAAAAATTTTAGCGGGATTGTCGCCTGGCATTCAGCGGATGGCATCCCTGGCATTCTTTCGTTTAGCTCAAACATTTCGATAAGCTTAATCTTTACCTTAAACAGAGCCGCTTTGTGGTTTCAGCGGCCGGTGATTTTGTTTACGCGAAGTTTTCTGAGATCAATGTTATAATTCGACCTTCTTGCTATTTTTACCGTCAAGTGTAATGATTCAGGTAGCTTTTCTTTCTTGTCTCCTTGTTTTTTTTCGTCGTTAAGGACCAAATAGCTTCTTTTCAATTAAAGCAAATCATTGTGTTTTTGAACTAAGTGTTCCGTGTGTGTGTTTATTTCATTGCGTGATTGCGACCGGTTCAGAGTTGTACTGCATGCAGTTGATAGTTTGAACGTTAAACATGAATTACGATCGAAAAATTAAAGCAGTTCTGTATCATGCAGACATTTCCAAACGATATTTCTCGGTTTGCCACTTAAAAATCGTGTTCTACTTTTTGCCTGAATTACAGCAAAGGTCGAGGAGTAGTGACGTCACTAGATGGCATTAACGGCCGGTCGATTCAGACGTCACTGAGGGAGTAATAACGACTCGAAGTAATCGGATGAAATTCAGGCTATACTTTTTAAAAGTTTTTCTTAAAGTTTTCTCAAAGATGTTAGTTAAAATCATTTTATTTAAAAAAAACGTTAAAAACATGTCGACGTTCCGACGTTCTCGGACGTAGGGACTTTAACTTACCACGACGGCGACGACAACGAGAACGTCAAAAAAGCAATAGGTTGAATAGGCAAAACAACAACTCTGTATGTGCGTCACGCTTTTTTGTACATTTCTTTTCCGTCACTGCACCACTACGACGTGATAATTCCTAATTTCGCTTTTTATGGAGGACCTAAACAACCGACGCATAAATTTTCTTTCTCTTTCTGAACTTGAATTTTGGTTGGTACGAATTCTGCTCAAAAAGAGTTCTCTTGCATTTGACAAAGTAAATAAAGTTGGAGTAATCGGTATAGAACTGAAAGAACTCAAATTCACTTATTTTTAAGCGACGTTTTCGTGGCCGTCGCCGTCGTGGTATCTTCAACTCCGCATTATCAAGTCGAAAGTAGAAAACAGCTTATATATATATATATTTTATAAATACCAGTATACAGAAATTGAAAGGCCCGAGCTGCATTGGTGGATTTATATTCTTTGGATTTCAAATCCAGCTAGTCCTTTTTCAGAATCGACTGATTCACCGGATCAAAAATCAGGATGTGGGTTGCATTTTGCGAAAGGAACACACCCTTATTAAGTCATTTGAATTATTTTCTATCGTACTACCGTATCATGCTGTTAAATCTTTCAGCATAAATTGGAGTGCCTTCCAGTCGTGAGCTTCATAACGGTGTTCCCCAAGGTAGTGTCCTTGGACCTATTTTATTCCTGTTTATAATCCACCCTTGGGTGATTTTAGAAACACCATAACGTTGACTTTCTTTTGTATGCCGGCTTCCTCTGATGACCTGGGAAAATTAGCAAAAGAAGACTGTGTGCGAGATATCGATGCTGGATGACGGTAAAATGTTTAAGATGAACAGAAACAAGGCAAAATCTGTTGTCCTAAATGCTAGTCCTCTCCCACCTCCGCCCCTGACGTCAATTTCGGTTTGAGATGAGTGATTAGCAAGTCATCGGTAGCTAGAAACATTGGTGTTCTGTATGATACATTCATGCCAATGGAACATCATGTCACAGCCGTACGCAAGGCAGGCTTCTACAACCTTCTAGACATTAGCCACATAAGGAATTACATCAGTCGCCATACGGAGGAAATACTTGTGCATGCTTACATTCCTTCGAGATTGGACTTCTGTAATTCACTACCGAAACAGACTGTTAAGAGACTTCAGCATGTTCAAACCATTATCATTAAATACTCATGATACTGACATTGTATCGAAGAGAGGTTATTGTAACTGTATCTCAAGGAGCACTATTGGGAGCATTCGTCTTTTAGGTTTAATATGATTATCAGGAGGCCTAGGTACCTCGAGCTCACTTAGGAAACTGGGATCATTATGCGTTTCTGGGAAACTGCCCACCTACCCCTCTCCTAAGCCAACATTAACACTAACGTCTGACTTAGGTCAAAATGTTGGCTTAGGGGAGGGGTAGGTGGGCAGTTTCCCAGAAACGTATAAAGGTAGGAAAGTTTATTTTTAACGATCGATTTGTTTCGAAACGCAATAGTTGATTTGAGAGCACTGGAAGGAGCAAGCGTCGTTATTCAGTCCGCTTAACGAAGTTTTTACCATAAAAACGGCCAATATGTCTTGCTCTTTGGCCCAGCTTAGCGACAGCTATAAAATAAGCGAGCTATTCTTGTGGATGCATTTCTACAATAATCATCATTCTACTTTCAATTAAGACCTGTCATTTAATTAGAGTCACTTGAACAGCTGTCGTGATGAGCGTAAATGGCCCATTGACAGTCTACGCGCGACATGTGTTTGACTGACGTCTCTGATTTTCAGTCGCAATTCTCAACAAAACTATTATTCCTAGCTTGCTCCTATTTTCAAATATTTGAAAAGAATAGTAGCCAAACCTGAGTTATGCTAAACATATCTAATAATAATAATATACACTTATATAGCGCCTTTCCCTTGGTCATCCAAAGCGCTTTACAACCAGAACTAATAGTAATAACCCTAATAAAATATTACAATGACTTAATTGTTAAAAATAAATGAGTAAATAAAACAAAAAATAATAAATGAATGAAGGAATGAATAATAAAAAACAAACATGAAATCTAAAACAGAAAGGCGTTATTTTATGGGACAAAAAAATTCCATCTTCTTAACGGCAATTAAAGATGTTTTCCCATAGCTTCTAGATTACTATCTGGAATACCTCACCTAACCTTCGGTGAGCTTGAATTAAGCTCTAAACTTCACGCTAATGGCAAAGTTGTTTGTCGAAGGAACAATTGATGTCTATGGTATGAATTCATCGTATTATCAACCGTATCATCTAAATTATGTAATGTGACAGAAACTCTGATCCGGGGGACGCTCGTGAATATGATTATGAATTCGGAAAAAAAAAACAATGGCTCTGGTTATATGAGATTGAGAAGCTGTTCCATGCAGTTTCAGGAACTTATACGCCACGCTTCCGAATGTCCTCAATAAGCATCGAATCGATAGAAATGGTGACGGAAATTATTTAATTCAGTCATTCATTTGTTCTTCTTTTCGTTTTAAGGAAGGAGTTGAACGATTTTTTTTACAAAAATGGCCTCATGAATATTGAACTGTTCGACGTCGTACAAACGCCCTTATCAAAACTATCTAATGTAACAAATTATGCGCAATTTAAAGAGTTTCGGAGAGTCTCGAATAATTAGCAGACTACCTGGAACCAGATATTAAACCACTTTAACAAGAACAGAGTCAGTTTGCACTTTCTAGGATGGTTTAAGTTTGCCAATAAATAGCATCTCGTTTTAAATGAGACAATCGAATTTTAAGCTTCATTTTGCAAGCACATGTGGAACTGGTGTTATCTCGGAACAATGTGTTGTTTAAAAGTTTCAATGTAATCTGCGTGATTCACTAGGCGCGATATCTGCATGAACACGTTGT